GGCTTGGAGGGCGGGGGGGCTCTCCACCGTCTTCAGTTGGGGCTTTGTGAGGAGCGTCTCCTGAGCTTATCCGAAAAGTTGGGTGCTCCGGGTCCTCGGTCCCCAGACGGACAGTGTCCCGGCTGTCCGGGCAGCGCAGCCTGAGAGTGGAGCGCTGAGCGGCTTCCCCTCCGCAGGCGGGTAACTGTACCCTATTGTCCTAGCGGTCGGCTGCGCCCCTGAGGCTTTCACAATTCCTCGGTGGGGGAGGGGCGCGGCCGCCAAAAACCAACTGATCCCCCCACCCCCTCCCCGTTTCCTTTCCAAACAGATTTCCCCCCAAACATTTTTATAAAGAAGGTTCTAGGTGAGCAAATCAGTCTAGTTTGGTAGGGAGTTTTTTGTTTAATGTCAATTTAACATATTACAATTTGGCTTTTTGTTAGTGGTGCAGAGGGCCCTTACAGAGATTCTCCTATTGATACTCTAGGCTCTATTTAAAAAGTCACCTGCTGCACCAAAATATTTTGCATGCATAAAAACAGATTACCTTCAGGGATCCCAAGCCAGGTCTTGCCCCCAAATAGAGTGCCCTGTTTTAAATAATTTTCCGTATTATTAATGCTTTTCTTTTAGAGGGAGTGCTGTTTTTGGTAGGACAAGCTGAATCTTGCACCACAGTAGATGCCCAATAAATATATTTGACTTGCTCAGGACTTTTTTATTAGTCTGTTTGCGATGGAAATTGTACATCACTTTGGTCAATATTTGCTTAATGACCTTATGGGTTTTCCAACAAAAGGAGCTGGTGCTGATGTAGACTGGTTTTATTTTGGGATTAACAGGCAGCCAAAAGTACATATGGACCAGACCTGCTTGGTGCCACATCCTCCGTCCTGCCTGTAATTAGAAGCCCTTGTAAACCCTCCCTTGCAGTGAGCGCTGAAATCTCCCATCTGCCTTTGTTCTGGGACAAAGGAGAGATTATCACGTGCCCCACTGGACTGTGCATTTTGTGACTGGAAGAATCTGTGTGGTGAATGATGCCACTCAGGCGCTGGGACACTGGGGAAACCTTAGTTCTTGGCTACAGCACTGGGGGCTTAGTGACCAGGCAGGAGGCTGGCGGCTGCTGGTGAAAACAACACCAAACCCTCGTGGTGTCTTTTGTGAAGCCATCTGACTCCTTGGTGTTTTAAGTGAAATTATTTTGCCTTAAGGAAAAGGTTCATTATATTTTTCAATTTAATACAAATATTGTGGCCATTTTTGAGAAAGGTTATATGTAATTTCAAGATCTTTGCCTTGGCGTGTGTGGCTCAGTTGGTTGGAGTGTTGTCCCATCACCAGAAGGTGGCGGGTTCGATTCCTTGTCGGGGCGAGTATAGGAGGCAACCCATGTTTCTCTCCATTCCTCTCGCTCTCCAATAAAATAAAATAAAAAAAGATTTCAAGGGAGCAGATACCCTATGTCCAGTTAGGTTAAAACCAAGGTGTTATTAAACCAGAATGTGAGAGATACCTAGCCAATCCAGTATAGACCATGACTCAGTTCTAGTACCATAAGTCTCAAACTATAGTATTTTAAAATCCAAGTTATTTGTGCACTTTAAAATCTCCCCCTTCCTGGGAAAATAAAGGACACCTTTTTGCAATGCCAGTAAGTCAGTGTAGTTACAGAAACTTCTATATTAATTTATTTGACTTTATTTTTAAAGTTAAACTCTTAGGAGTTATAGTTATTGAAGAACATTTTTGTTTGTTTTTGGGTGTTGCAGTCATTTGCACCTCTAAGTAGTTTGTTTTGAAACCAGAGAGAATAATGTTGGTGGCACTAAGAAAGAATTCAGAATTAAACGGTGTGGGTAAGGAAATAATGGTCAAAGAGCAACTTAAGACATCTGTCTTATTTGCATATTAAGTGTATGTGGAGGCAACTCGGGCAAGTGGAAATTTATCAGTGTAACTTTTTATATTTTTTAGATCTATTCAAATCAAACAACTGCTGTAACACTTGCAAGTAACCCTTCCCACAATACCTCGACTACCCAGAGTCCAGCAAATGCTACCACCAAGGCGAATGGCGGTGCTCTGCAGTCAACAGCCAGTGTCTTCGTGATCTCGTTGGCTCTTCTACATCTCTACTGTTGAAAGACTCGGGCCAAGAAACGTCTATACTTCTCCATCTTCTAAACCCAATCCAAATGGCACCTAGACATCCAGTGTGACAAGGAAAAAAAACAGGTCTTCATTGAATCTGCTAATTCCACACCTAATTTTATTGACACAGAAAATGTTGAGGATCTCAGATATGATTGGTTTGAAGAGCATGTGCAGGGTTTGAATAGATGATGAATGCCAATATTAAATCTGCTGGACTTTCATGTACAAGATGAAGAGAGACACATCCAAAATTAGTTCAGAGATGATTTCCTTAAATGTGGCTTAAGAAGTATGGACACATACACTTCTACCTTGAAAATGAATAGATTTTATCTAGAGATAACGGATGGAATTTGGAACAGAGTCAGTTTTCATTTGGTTCATTGAAGTTATAAGGCCATAAAACAGTTAGGTAATGCACAAAGCTATGGTTCTATTTATGTGTACATTAGAAGGAACTTCCAGATGGTCCCATAAATCCTCAATGTATTATTTCATAGTACTAATTTAATGCCCGTGTAACTCTAAATAAAATTTTACATTGTTAAGCTATCGCTGTTCTCTTGGGATCTGAACTCTTTCCTCTGAGGCTTTGGATTTGACACAGCATTTGACTTTTTGTGTAGTAATTGATATGTGCCCAGGGCAATGATGGATTGGAATCTACCCTGCATTCAAGCATAATGAGTAAATTTTGCTGATACTCAACAAGAGCGCCAGATTAATTTAGCTAAACTAATTCCGAAGAGTAGAAGTACACTGACTCAACTAATTTCAAAATGCTTTTTATTTCTGCATATGTTGAATACATTTAACAATTTTAAAAATGATTGGTTTTGAAGGTAAAATCGACAAATTTAAAATTGAAAAGGCAAATATATGAAGGAGCCAAAACTGTAAATTAGGTGTTTGGGAAATGAAGACTGGAACCCTACATTAAATTCAGAAAAACTTTTATACTCTTTCTGTACATACTTTTTTTTAAAAACTATGAATCAGAATAGCTACATTTGGAACACTTTCTGTTATTGGTCAATATTTTTAGATAGTTAGAACCTGATCCAAAGCCTAATGGGGGCTTAATTCTGGAAAGGAAATCTTTTCACAACTTCCTCGATGCTCAGAACCTTTTTAAAGATAGACACTCCCTAAAATCTTTTGTTCGCATGGTCACACACTGATGCTTAGATGTTCCAGTATCTGATACGGCCACAGTAGTCTTGATAACCAAAGTCATTTTTTCCCATCTTTAGAAACCCACCCAGGAACACCATACTCAGCCGATCTCAAGCTACTGTGTGTGTGAATGAACATTCCTTTTTGTTTCATACCTGAATGCTGTACATCTATTTTGGATTGTATATTGTGTTTGTGTATTTATGCTTTGATTCATAGTGACTTCTCATCTTATGGAATTGATTTGCATTGAACACAAACTGTAAATAAAAAGAAATGGCTGAAGGAGCGAGTCATGGTAGTTTTTTACTGACTTTAATCACAGTAAAGAGTACTAAGAGACTCCCTAACAGATAATGTATTCCAGACATCCGCTTCCCTAACCTCCAGTGTGTAGCAGCAGCCCAGTTTCCCCTTGGTAGGCAGTCACTACAGTCACTACAGTAACTTCCCACCTTGTTGACTCAGAGGCTTGAGCTCAAAGCGGTTGGGTGGCAGTCTCCACTTCCAGTTTAATGGAACTACTGCTATGTCTCCTGGTGGAAACATCCTTCACTTTGGAACTAAGATCTCTACACCAGCAGAATAGAAGGTCTCAAGGACAGGAAGTAAAAGGTTTGCTACTGGATCACTTATTAGGGGTACTGGAGCCACTCTCATCTTTATCCCCTGATTCCTGGACCTGTGAATCCTGATTATGGGAGAAGCAGCTCCTTATTCACTTTTTAATCCTCACCAGAGGATATTTTTTCCATTGCTTTTTCAGAGAGAGTGGAAGGGGGAGAGAGAAGTATCAGATGTGAAAGAGACAACAATTGGTTGCCTCCTGCACGTGCCCCGACTGGGGCCGGGGATTGAACCTGCATCTGGGGTACCTGTCCTTGGTCGGAATCTAACCCAGGACCCTTCAGTCCTCAGGCCAACACTAACCACTGAGCCAAACCAGCGAGGGCAACAGCACCATATTTAGAGCACATATATCCTCCTGGAATTCAATACCTTGACCCTGCAGGGTATTACCACCTAGCTGGAGTTCAAAAGGCGACGGTAATATCAAGCCAGGTGTCTCAGGATGGTGGGGAAGGTGGTGAGACCAGTGAATGCCATGGGCATGGGCCCACTGCCACACATCCTCCTGGATCAGAACGTTGTGTGGGTCACTGATGGTGGGTAAGGTATTTAAGTCCATGGATGATGCTTTAGCAGAAGCACTGCATACAGGGAAGGCAAATCCATATCCAGAATAAATATCTATTCCAGTAAGAATAAAATGCCCCTTCCATGGTGTATGTGGTCCAATGTAATCAACATTTCACCTGGCTGATGACCTCATGGAATAGTGTCATATAGGGGACTCAGTGTTGTCTCTGCTGCAACAGATTGGGCTCTCAGAAGTGGCCAGGTCAGCTTTAGTACACGTCCATGTTGCTGGGCTCCTGCATAACCTCCACCCCCGACACCATGGCCACTTTATTAGTGAGCCTGTTGGGTGATGACAGTGATGGCCAGGGAAAGAAGTTGACTGGTATCCGCAGAATGAGCCATCTTATCCACTTGATTATTAAGATCTACTGAGGTCACCTTTCGGTGAACATTCGCATGGGAGACACAAATACCTTCATGCTCTTTTCCTCTTCAAAGAGGTTCACCCATATACTTCTTCCCCAGACTCCTTGTCACCAATTTTTCAATCATGCTTCTTCCAAGTCCATCCAGCCAAACTTGGCCACAGCCCATGAATTGGACAGACTCACACCTCTGGCCACTTTTCCTTCCAAGCAAAATGAACAACCAGGTTCACTGCTTGTAATTCTGCTCACTAAGAGTGTTTTCCTTCACCACTGTCCTTCAGGGGTGTCCCAGAAGGGAGTTGTAGAGCTTCTGCTTTGGGGTGATGCCTGCATATTGTACAGAACCTTTTGGAAACCAGGCCCAACTTCTCTTTCTTCAGCAACTGATCATAGGGAACTCCCCATGAAGCCATGGGTGCAGGCTGGGCTAGAAAAGGTAATGTAGCAGGAATAGGAACCAAGGTAATTTTGGGTAACTTCCTCATGTAACTCACTTGTATCTTCAGGGCCTGCTCAAGCCCAGTATCATAAATGCCACTTCCATTTGATAGTAGCGTGGTGCTCTGCACACCCAACTTTATGGCTTGGGGTTAGACCACACCCAGCTCATGTTGGACATTCAGGTTGCATGGTGGTTCGTGGTTAAGCATTTAGTCTTTACTAAAACTCAGTAACAAATCAAAGCCTGTTTCTCAACGAACAGCTGCTGTCTGCAGTAACCCGCAGGACTTTGCTCTGAAATCCTAAAACTAACCATCACAGCAACCTTTGATCTAATATAAATTTATAGAAAAGCAATACAAAATTTGGGACTATCTTTTTAAAAGTGATCATCAGTGCTCATGCAGGAAGAAACAATTACTTTTTCAACTATTTTTTGAACATGATTTTAAACAACCCTGGGCTGTTTTATTTATCAGAAAAATGCTCAGCAATCTATTTGGCGCTTATACTTTAAATATTCACATTTAAATACTAGTTATATAATTTATGGCTAAATTCAGTAATGAGTAGCCATTGTATGGGTGTCTCTTGAACTAAGTTTAGCCTTAGTAGATAAAAGCAAACAGTTTAGAGACAAGCAGATAGTTGAAGCACTATGCCATAAAGTTAAGATGAGAAAAATCTATTTAGATCTAAACATATTCTAAACACACACACCCAATGCCACCACTATCCTTAAAATAGAACTCAAATATTTAGGTAGTTAAAAAGTATGAGTTTTTCATTTCTCGCAGACCTCATTTGGGGTTGGTTTGATTACTTTTGGATTCCTTCCTTAGTATAAAGGGAGTATTTTTTCCTAATTTTGGTAGGATGACACTTTTTGAAACAACCAAATCACCATCATGGTTTGCTTCTCAGTTTCTCTTCAAATTATACCTAAATTTAAAGGTGGATGCATTTGTAAGACACTTTAGGAAGTTTCCATATTTATGACTTTGCAAAGAATTATCTCTGTGAGCCCGAAGGGTCTGCAGTGGTCTAACTGTCATGCCTCTCAGCAACTGGCAGATGCTAAGATTTGGAGAAACCTAACGTGTCTAAAACGGAACTCATTACCTTCCCTCCACATTATCTGCTTCTCTGTTCAGAGCACCAACCTGCCAAGTCTCTCTCATTACAAACCTGGGAGCCGCCTTCCTCTTCTCTTCCCATCTCCAATCAGCCACAAAATCCTGTCACTTGTGAGTCAGGAATGTCTCGGCACCCTGCTTCTCCTCCCCCTCCTGGTGCCTTCCCCTGATTTCCATCATCTCTCCAAGCTCTGCTTTCCTGCCCTTAGTCTTTCCACCCTGTGGTGGTGATTTTTAAAAAAATGTAGATCTAATTATTTGTTCCTCACTTTAAAAGTTTGGCTGGCTCCTTGGTTGAGCGTCCTCCCGGGCACCGAAAGGTCGCCGGTGCCATTCCCTGTCAGGGTGCATGCCCAGGTTTGGGGTTTGATCTCTGGGAGGGGTGCATGCAGGGTGGGGGCGCAGATCGATGTTTTTCTCTCTCTTCTCCCTTCCTCTCTCTCTCATATTCAATAAAAAACATATTTTAAAAAATTGTTTTAAAAAAAGTTTGGCTGGCTACCCTTTGCCTATAGAAGATAAAATAGAAACCCCCATTCACTCCCCGTAAGGCTTTTCACAGTCTGGTGCCAATTCAATGTTTCAGCCCCGTTTTCAGCCCATGCTCATCTCTCTCGGGATCCACAAGGTCTTGTCATGTCTCAGTGGCTTTGAATACACCCGCTCCTCCAGCTCAGGGTAGCTGTTAAAGGTGGGGATGCTAGAGCCGGGCTGCTTCAGTTGGACTCTCGGCCCAGCTATGACCAGCTGAAGGAGCTTAGGCAATTACATAAATTCTCAGTGGCCCAGGAGTCTTGTCTATAAATGGGCTTGATAGTAATGGTACCTATCTCATAAGGGTGTTGGGAGAATTAAATGAATAACACAGAGTTTTAGAACAAAGTCTGGTACATTGCTAGTACTTGACGAACATTGGCCAGCATTTTTTTCTATTAATATATGAACTTTGTGTTCACTTGTGAGCTCCATGACTTAGGAACTGTGCCATATTAATGTCTAAATTCCTGATGTGTGATTGAGAGTAAGTGCTCAGTTCATGCTGAGTAAGTAGAAGAGACAGCAGCAACTCAGTACCAGAGTAACTGGGGAACTGGGGGGGAGGGGGGGGCGCAGACCTTGGATACTATATTAGGTCATGAGAAGGTGATTAGGACTATTTCTAAACAGGCTGGTCTCTCAGAGCTGCTCAGTTTCCATCGGATAGGCAACCTGCTTATCCATAGCAATGGTCTCAACGCCGACTGCATATTAGAATCACTTGGGAAGGTTTTTAAAACTAGTGATGTCTGCCACCTCTACTTACTTAGAAGACTCTGATTTAATTGGTCTGGGCAGAGCTCAGTCATCAGTAGTTTTTAAAAACTCCCCAGATTCTAAAGTACAGCCAAGTTGAGAAGCACAGGCCTGAGAGTAGCTTGGCTCTCAGACCAACTGACTGGCAGGGGCTGCATAGTAAGACATGGTCCTGGCCCTTGGCTCCAAATCCTTGTGCCTGACAAAGGTGCTCACATCAGGGCTGTGATTAGAGACAAGCAAGGTCACTTTCCTTCAGTCCATCATCTGGATTTCTACCCAGCTCAAAGAGAGCACATGAATTCATACCAGAGTTGGCTGGGTCCAGTGCCTGAGATGCTGTCATCAGTGGAACCACATCCCAGCCCTGGGTCTGAAAACTTGCTGCATAGCTCCTGTGAGTGTCTCTGGGCTTTGAGAGGGTTGGCCTTTTTGGAAACACTTTCCAGTTTTAAATACTAAGATTCCATCCAAATTTTTAAAAATCAGAATGTTATATATTTTTTCTGTGAGCTTGGTAAGCTTGCTCTCCCATCCATGAAAAATTGGGCTCAGCATTCCATGCTGAGCCTACAAAAATTAATGCGATTTCATTGTTATTACTCTAGAAGGCACTGGCACTCATTGTATTCATTTGTTCTGCTTTTTGGTTGTCATTTTGCAGCCTACTGCATTTTCTGAAGACTTGGAAAGGGTTCCTCTTACTGAGAAATTAGAACAGTCTAACTGGTAGTTGCTGATACCTTAAGTGAGACTGCAATGACCTCGAACTGTTTGATGGGGCTTGTGAAATACAACCAGTGACACAACCCTGTTGAGACTAGGGTATGAATACAATAAGGAA